ACATGATAGAGATCTGCCGCTTTAATCATAGATAGAGCAGAGTTGGGTGTGGCTGTGGCTGTGGCTGTGGATATAACTTTTTCTGAACATCCACAACCACTCCCACCCACATCCCACACCCATATCCTTTTCAATGTACGAATCCTATTCGATTTCAAATTATTTTTTTAAAATCCATCAAGAACAAATGATCAGGAACAACAATCATCTTTGGTATAATTATCACTGATGTTTGTTTTTGAAATTACTCCAGTTCAAAGATTCCAGCCACCGGATTCCGCAGAAGTTGGCACGAAAGATGCGGAAAAGTCACCGTATCCTGCAGTAAAACACCGAAAATCGCTGGAATATGGAAGCAGTATTCCGGTCGAAAATTGGTTGAATATTTCCTGAAGGATTCCTGTCAGCTTTCAGTGCTTTTCGGCAGGCACCGAATGAAAATCATCGAAAAATTTTAGGCCAGAATACTGCTTTCATTTTTCAGTGGTTTCCAGTGTTTTTCTGCCGAAATCGGCCTGTACTTCTTGATCTGGGACTTGAAATATCAGTTAATTGTCAAGTAAATGATTGTAGACTTTGAAGATTATTCAAAATGTATTGACCCATAGTGTTCAATTTAGTCAGTGGAACACGCTGCTTCCAAATAATTTGAATTTCGATCGGGTCGAGCCATCGATCGAATATTGCAACATCGGCAATGCATCCATGCCAGAAATTTTCCATTGTCATCTTGACACCAATATGCAATGTGAGAGGCATTTGTATCTGTTGATCTTACCATCGTTCTTCATAATGGTAGTATTGAGGAAAATCAATGACACCATCAGTTCTTCGAGTCATATCAACATTACATTGAAGTTGACCATCAACAAATAATTGTTGCCTATTACGAGAAACTTGAGCCACAACATGATACCAAGTATTTTTATCATACGATGCGGAGCACCACAAAAGAAATATACAGAACCGTTTGATATCATTACTTGATTTTCAAGTACACGACAAAGATTGACACCCAAATGAAGCCAAGCATTGAATGGATGCTGCCAAGAGCCGATAGCTGTTCGCCATCTGATGCCTCCTGGATAAGTGTCCATGAGCCATAGCGATACACAAAATGTATCGGTTTGATATTGTCGAATATCATGAACGGGAATATTAATCGATGAACGACCGTCGAGAAGAAGACATGGACCGAGAAAGCATGTTTCTTGTTGCGGATGACCAGTCAGAGAGAGCCGATCATCGCTGATGATGCCGGTCGAATCGTGTCCTAATTTTGATGCATTTTCAAATTGCCAATGACCGATCATATGAATATGGCAGAAACGCGTAAAGTGTTGTTGAAAGAACCATTCGTCAATGATAAGTGTCCGCCAACGACGACAAGTACGCGAGACAGTGAGTATTTCGGACAGAGTTCCATCGACAAAGAAGAAAATTTTGGTGATAATTTCGTTAGGAAGATCCTCTATTGAGTAAATCATAAATTTTTCACGATATGTGGATCTGAAAAGTCAATAAAATATAATAATGGCAAATATTTTCTTTTGCTGTTCTCTTCAAATATATTTTATTACCAGTGAAGAGAAGTCGAAGAGAGCACAACTTTCTACCAATGAATAAGAAGCAAGCAGGCAATGGTATGAGATAATCGAGTCTAAATCGTCGACACAATGTGACATTATGGAGAAATACCTAGGATAAGACGATGATGCAACGAACAAAAGCCGTATTGCGAAATTTTCAGTGTTTTCAATGGTGAATAGATGCGTGATTTCTCGAAGCTGCATGACCTCTTTTGTATAAGGGTGTGGATGGGTGTGGGTGTGGGTGTGGGTGGGTGTGGGTGGGTGTGGGTGTGGGGGCGGGGGTGAGGGTGTGGGTGTGTGGGTGGGTGGGTGTGGGTGGGGTGTGTCGGTGTGGGTGTGTATGAAGAAGAGATATTCACCCACACCCACACCCAAGGAGGAACAAGCGTACTTCTGTGCTTCAGAAGTACAGAAGTACCAAGTAGTACCGAGAAGTACCAAGAAGTACCAAGAAGTACAGAGAAGTACAAAAGAAGTACCAAGAAGTACAGAGAAGTACAGAGAAGTGCCAAGAAGTACAGAGAAGTACGAAGAAGTACAGAAGTACGCTTGTTCCCTCTTGCCATTTTCAGAACAATGGCACGGCGAATTTTGAAAAGATATTTCACCAGTATAAAACAAACTACTACCTATGTTAATAGTTATACCAATAATGTAAATACTAATATGATAACTAGCATTACGATTGAGTTATTACAATTGTTTAAACAGTAATAATTGTAGTTGATTGTCTAAATAGAGAAATATTATTTATTTTGTCTTAGTGGAATATATTTTCAAAATTCGTCATGTCATTGTTCTGAAAATGGTCGAATAAATAGCGCTGAAAATTTAACAAATCGTAAAAAATGAAGATAAGACAAAACAAAAAAAAAACAAAAAAAATCTGTTTTATTAAAATTATCATTTTCATATACGTCTATATAATGAAAATTTAAACTGTTAAAGTTTAAAAATAAAAAAAATGACTCAATAGGTGATCTAATAATATTACATATTGTTACTTGTGGAACAGTTAGAATTTTGTCATTAAAAAAAATCCATGTTTACTCTCATATTATTGTGCATCTGCTGTTGTTAAATTCTAGTGAAAAAAACCTTTTCAACATTCATGTAATTATTGTTTTTTAACGTATTTATGTACGCTGTTCTTCTTCTTTTTACTCGCCTTCATGTTATTAACTATAGATTGATTTAGCTTAAATATTTTACAGAAGAATGGCTAGATTATTTGTTATGAAGAAGTGTAGCACATTTCTACATTTAACAAGTTATAATTTATTCTGTTTATTGTTTTATTTTCGTGTGCATTCTATATGATTTTATATTATTCATGAATTTGAAGTATTATTTAAGCATAACTAATAAAAATTAAAGTGATAACAACAGTATTCATATAAAGTAGCAATGGTGCAAATATAAAGATTGGTGTTGAGGTAGACGAAACTACGAAGGAATACGAAGAAGTACAGAGAAGTACGCAGAAGTACAGAGAAGTACAAAAAAAATACCAAGAAGTACAGAGAAGTACGAAGAAGTACAGAAGTACGCTTGTTCCCCCTTGCCCACACCCCACACCCACAACCAATTCACCTATATGTCCTTGATTGAATCAAAAATTCTTCAAAAAAGGAGAAAAATGATACTTTCAACGTTCATTTTGATATACAATGAGCCATTTAAATAAATAGATAAACTAGAATGTATGTGTTATGTTTTTTCGGGGTTGACAACTATAGTATTGCTAGAGATATCAGGACACGATCATTAAACATAGAAAATCAGAGAACAACTGATGTTAAAGAATAATGATTAAGATCAGGCATGAAACAATATCAATCTCTGTGCTTATCGGAACAGTTTTGCAATGTATGATGATTTGTTTGAAGACTCTACGAATGAGAAAAAAAATAGAAAAAAGGACGAGTGAAAAACGGTGCTAAATAAGAAAACATTTGTTTCAGCATATTCTACTTTTTTTATAAAACCTTTTGTATCCCTGTAACATCCTTCTGTAGAGCAGATCATAAGTGTTACTACGAACTGTATGCTTTCGCGCTGACAAGTTTTTTTTTCTATCTAATTGGCTCGTCTTACAATTCAAAGAAATGATATTGTTCAATCGGTTACATCGATGGCTTTAATTGTCTCAAATGATGAAAATATAGTTTTACACGTGGATGATCATCAGGTAATGTCTTCTTAGCTGTTGAAATAGCCAATTCCAAATAGTGGATTGCCATAGAGATGTCTAGTTTATGTGCGTAAGATAAACCCATTGAATGGTAAATTTCTGCTAACATTGGATGTTCTTGCTTTTGATTTACAGCAAACTCAAGCACTCTTTCCAAATTATTAAGCGACATTGGCCAATTTTCTTGTCGATAATACACTCGGCTTATACCAAAGTAAATTCTTATCATCGAGCTCTCGAATTGTTGTGAAAAAAATCTATCGGATTTTTTATTTTGAATAAAAAGTTTAACGGCCTCATCAAAACATTTCATTGCCATAGAATAGTTTTCTTGTCTCGAGTAAAGTGATCCGATGTTATTAAGTAAATCAAGACGTTTTAGAATACCATCTGATACAATTTGTGTAAGTTTTTCACGATAAATCGATAGCAGATGATTTTGTTGATCAGGATTATCCAATAAACCGGAGAGATTAATATCTGTTTGTTCAAATTCCACACTATTACTACAAGATTGATTATTGTTCAATATATTCAAGGGGGAAAACACGTACTCCCGTACTCCGAGTACAAGGGAGTACATGGGAGTACATGGGAGTACAACGGAGTACAAGAAAATACAAGGGAGTACATGGGAGTACAAGGGAGTACATGGGAGTACAAGGAAGTACAGGGGAGTACAGGGGAATACATGGGAATACAAGGGAATACATTGGAGTACAAGGAAATACATGGGAGTACATAGGAGTACAAGGAAACACATGGGAGTACAAGGAAACGCAGCGAACGTAATAATGTACCACAGATCGACCCCAAATATATCTCGAAAAAGCATTGCACGATTGATTTTTTTTCTTTTGTTGATTTATAAACGACCTCGAATCAAGGGGGGAAACACGTACCCCGTACTACGAGTACTCACGGGGTACAGAGAGTACATGGGAGTACAACGAACGTA